TTTTTTTTTTTTTTTTTTTTCGTCTTTTCCTTTTTTCAGTTATAAGGCACGAGATGCTCATTAAAACAAAGGTCAATTGCAAAATTACCATTGTGTTGCGTAAGTTTTTCATGAAACCCCATGAAGTTTCCAATAAGAGAAACCATTAAGGTTCCTTCACAAACAAAGGTCTTGTTTGGCGATCAGCGGATAGCGGATAGCGGATAGCGGATTATATTAGCTGATTTGACTAGCGGATTGCATTAGCTATTTTTAAATAAGTGTTTGGTAAATAGCTGAAAGCTTATAGCTGTTTGACATTGCAAATTACCAATAAGGACTAAGTTTTATTATTTAGGGTGTATTTTTTTAATAATAATATATTGAAACATTTAATATTTTTTAGTTGGTAATTTATAAATATATATATTTTTTTAAAATTTACTAACACTTGATTAAAAAGTTATGAATTTTACATTTTTCTAGATAAATTAATCATATGGATGACATATTATTATTTGTTAGCATCATAAACCAATATAGATTGTAAAATAAATAATACAAATTAAAAAGTTCTAAATTAAAATTGTAGATTGTGAATCCTCTATCTCCAAAAAGCTCCTCTAATGAGCTTTTTCTAAATTAGAGTTTTGGGCCTAAAAAGCTTATCAAATAAGATATTTACCAAACAAGCTCAATAGCGGATTTGACGGGTCAAACCTCTCAATTAAGTCCAATCCGCTAATTTATCCTCAATCCGCTATCTTCCAAACGGGACCAAAAGCTACGTAAGAAATCCATTAGCATTCATGAAAACGATAGAAATATTCACTTAGTTTAAGTAGAATCAAACTTCAAGTCTTCAAGTTTGTTCTTTTCTTTTTTCCCTGTACTTATGGAACTTCTTCTTATTATATATATCTAACTTCAGATTTTTTTTTTTTTCTTTTTCCCTTTGTTCCACTTTTGAAAACGATATTCTTTTCAGGAGACTCTTGGTTTTCATATCTATGGCCGCGCGACTGGGAGATTCTCATAATGGAAGCCCTGCTTCATGTCCCAGCAAACGAGAAGCACAACCAAACCTTTCGGATCAGCGTCTCGGATGACTCTCCCCCACCGCCTTGCAAAGCATGCCCGGCGGCTTGTGGGCCCCAACAGCCAGTCGAAAGTGTGGAAAAGACTCGATCTCAGCCTGTAGCTAGTGTCAATTGAGCATGATTTCATTATATTGTTCAATCTTTGTGGTCATATTTTTAGGCAAGTTAAAGACATATTGCATGAAATAGTTGGTGGGGAATAATGATACATTACCATTATGGGAGTATGTGAACACCACCCTTTGGCAGACCTTAGTATTTTCCAAATTTTGTCAAATTTATTGGATATTATACATTCTTGCACACAAAATGATGGTTATTGGTCTTGTGCTGTGAAAGGGGTGAGTTTATTGGTTCTCATGGAATATGTCTAGCTTGGACAAAAGGTGATCTCATATTATAATATCACTAAAGTTTAAATCTTTAAACTTTGACTCTTTTTTTTTTTTTGGTAACAAAATAAAGAGTCAATGTTCAATTGTCACAAGAACTCCAAATTTAACTCAATCCTAGTGCCTTGTTGGTATAAGATAAAAGAGAAGTTAACTGTTACCTTATAAAAATTTAAAACTTGAAATTGGTAGCATTATTTTATCTTATTCAGAAAAATTAAGACAGCTAATATAATTATATATATTTTTTTTTTAAAAAAATTTAATTTTTAAATTTATATAAAGTATTATATTTGATATTTTAGTGATATTTTCTGAAAGATATATTTTATTTTGGCATTAGTTCTATGGTTCGAACAAGCACCTGAAACCACAGAAATAGGGAAGATCTTCAATTATTTTACTTCCTTAATTAAGTTTATTCTATTCCATATATAAGATAATTGCGGATCTTATTATGGTATTCTATTTTGTAGGAAATTGGAAGTGCTAGTGATAAAGGAAAGAAGAGCCGTGCGTGTGGGAAGATTATGGAGAGAGAAGAGGAGATCTACTTACCTTAAATGAGCTATGTATATGGAAGGAAATCAAAGTTGGAGTCCTATGCCTTATGCCTTGTAGAAGACTCCAACCCTAAGGAGATTACTTTAAATACCCGTATGCAAGCTCTCATTGCTGCTGCTGAGTTTTTGAAGATTTATAGAGCAATAATTGAGCTTCGTGTTTTCTGTTTTAATTGAGTTGTACACAGTTCAGTCTGAGAGTTCGAACTAACTCAAGGACTGAAGCTGTTTTATTTTGTTCTTTGTGTTTCATCCAAAAACTATTTTACAGCTTATACACTTAGGGAGTAAGTATAGGTTATTAAAGTCCACGGGACGTGGCCGGAGAATTAGTTGATAGGATCTGTGTAGTGTTGGCTAGGCTTGAAGGGATTTCGAGTCGTTGTAAGTCCAAGCTATGTGTATGTTTGATCTATCAATGAAAGAGCTCTGAGGGGAAGTGAGACTCTTCCCTGAAGAGTTTTAAAATCTTCGGTTTATTGCTTCCGCATTTTTCAGTTCATACCATCGATAAGCGCACTCCGTAGAAATTATACGTTTCATTTTCGATAGTAATGATGGGACCAGTAATAGTATGCACTGATCATTATGACTAAAACAATGTTTCATACAGGATACATCTGAATAAAAATTAAAATGTCGGTGAACAAGATGACATTTTCCTTAACAGAAAAAAAAATAAAAATAAAAATAAAAATGAATTATGATGTCTGCAAATGTACAACAGTAGTGAGACTGCGAGTTTTTGTCTTTTGTTTTAACGGTCAAACATGAACCAAGATCCAATCTTTCTTACCCGGTCATCTCATTTGTTACTATTTTGAATTTTTCCAAATTTTATCCCACATCCCTTTTCGATCATTGGCTGCATTTTATTCCCCTCGCATGAATTGTGCAGTTAAATAGACACGTTCTATCAATCATTGATGCCATTGCGGCTGTTATTCTTTTTTTTTTCAATTTTTTTTTTTTAATATTAATAGTATAATACATCTTGTCCAGCAAATTTTAGAGAGAGAAACAAGAGGGGGGCTGAGGAGGAGGAGAGAGACCCTTGGTATAGGTCGTAGGTTTCGGGGAATGCTGGAAAAACGGTGCATTATTGGAAATCTTTGATGGGCTACCGGCCTTCTGGTCTTGCTCTTTACAGGCATTGATCTGAAGGTAAAACCAAATCAAAAAAGTTTCTTTTTTTCTTACATTTTTTTTTTTAAAAAAAATTGTATCTTTATTGAATTCATATCAAGAGGCAATTGGGTTTCTTATTGTGTTCTGTTTTTAAAATTTTTATGTATGTTAGTGTGTGTTATGTATCAAGATTGTTGGGTTGTGGTGGTGTCTGGTACATATATGATGACTCTTGGCCAATTTTAAGGAATGCCATGAGAAGGCTTTGACATAATTTGTAAAAATTTAGAGAGGAAGCCCAATTTTTTGCAATAATAATGTCTGTATCTATGACAATGTTTGAATCGGGAATCTTGAAGCTTTGAAAGGAAGAGATTTGATGAACGGTTAACGAAATCAGCTCATTTTCGTGAATTTTTGACAATTTGGCTGATGAGGATCTGATTTGAGGTTTGGTGTGTAAGTGTGTTTTTGTTTGTGTTTGTGTTTGTGTAGGCTGGTAACAGAAATTGGAAAGTGCCTGTCTTGCTCTTGTCAGCTTTTCTTTCCCTTCTCATTATCCCGACTATTTTCTCGAGGATTCATTCATTTTCGAGATAAAGAAGAAGGGAAAGAGAGCTCTGGGATTTTGAAGGTGGGCTTGGAGTACAAAGCAACACATTATATGGTAATATAAAATTATGGAAGCTGTTTCGGGTGTGATCTCAAGGCAAGTATTGCCTGCATGTGGTAGCCTTTGCTTCTTTTGCCCTGGATTGCGGGCAAGGTCTAGGCAGCCCGTGAAGAGGTACAAGAAGCTGATTTCGGATATTTTTCCCCGGCCCCCGGTGAGTTCTTGAGTTTATATGGTGTATTTTGATAAAGATTACCGAATTCTCGCAACTTATCTCGTATTATATGGTATGGGTTCTAATTTTTTTGGTTGAGGGTGTGTTTGGAACCAGTAAAGAGTATTGGTTTTAATACATGATAATTTTATTCAGAATCTTTAATGAGGTGTGTGAGGTTGCCTTTTAGATTTCTTAGTTTGTCTGATTTTTCAAACAAATAAGAACGTTTAGACAACTTACCATACACTCATTTGACTCGGTCAATTTTTAGCTTGTATTTAGCCAAGATCACGAAGTTTTGATTCTTAAGTACTTATGAGCTTCTCGCAGCTGAAATGCGTAACTCCTTTTACAAGAAAATGTTTTTTCTACTGACACTTCGAAAGTTATAGATGAAGCTTGAATTTGGTTGGCCAACTTATACTTGGGCAAACGAAAAGGATTTGTTTTGTCTAGTTATTTTGTGCGTTTTAATTCTCCTGAAGAATTTTCATTTTTCTGCTCTACATTTTGGACTTGCGGTGATGAAGTTTTGTTCGAAAGCTACGGTTTCAAATTAATGATGAATGCTATTTCTTCATATGAATTCACACGCACAACTGTTCCAGAATTGCTCAACTTCGACGACTTTTTGTTTTCTCTGCTTTATAGGAAGAAGAACCGAATGACAGAAAGATCGGTAAATTATGTGAATATGGTGCAAAAAACCCTATGCGCATTCCTAAGGTATGTGATAATTTATGTACGTGTCCGTGCAGTGTTAAAAGAATTGTCTGTCCATGACACAATATTTTAGCTGTGATAATAAGAGGAAAATTGAGTTATATAATTGCTTTTTATATCTTAGCAAGCCATCATTCTTTTCAAAAATTCAAATATAAAACTGATTGCTTTAGTTCTAGTCTTGGATTTCTTTTCTTAGTGGTATAAAAGTAACCCTTTTTTCTTCGTAATTACAGATAGCAAGCTCCCTTGAACAAAGATGCTATAAGGAATTAAGAAATGAAAACATGCGATCGGTGAAAGTTGTTATGTGTATATACAGGAAGTTCCTGTTCACTTGTAGGGAGCAAATGTAGGTTCCCTGCTGCTTTTGTGTTACTTTTTCATCTGATTTTGTGGGCATCTCATTT